CCCCCGCTTCCCCGCTTCCCCGCTTCCCCGCTCCCCCGCTCCCCCGCTCCCGCACGCACACGCCCTCGCACTTGGCTTCCGGACGCCGGGAAATTGACCGTGGCCCCATGTCCCTGGGCTCCCTGTCCTCTTCAGCGACTCTTCTACCATCCGGCTGGCGGACCCCTCGGCCACCACCAAGAACTCCACCAAGAAGTCCGGTCGCGCGCGTGGCATGAGCTTCTTCAGCAGACGGCTGTTCACCGGGGCCCCGGCTGCGCCGGCGCTTTCCGAGCCGACCCCCACCGAGCCGGCCCTGGCATCGCCCTTCGGCGACTCTGCCGAGGACCTGGGCTTCGTGACGCTCGCCGATGCGGACGGCCAGTCGGCCACCGACCTGGCCTCCGATCGCCGACCCAACATGTCCCGATCGGCCTCCCTGCCCCTGAACAGCTTGGTCAACATCCTCCAGGATCCCCACACCCAGCCCACGCCGACTGCCGAGTCCGACCTCGGTGCCGAGGAGACCATGCCCTTGTCTGGGGCCGCGGCTTCGCAAGGCGCCGCGTCGGAGCCTCTCCCCGCCGGTGCCGGCACAGCCACCGGCACCGGAAGCCAGCGCTCTTCCGGACGAGGCTCCACCCTCCGGCGAACTTTCCGCCTTCGGCGTGCCTCACTCAAGAATGGCCCCGCCCCGACGGATGATCCCCATGCGTCCAGTACGTTGGCTGCCTGCTGCTTGCTGCTGCCCCCTTCTTGCTCTTCCCCACCTCCTCTCTCTCTCTCTCTCTCTCCCTCTTTGTATGTCGGTTCCTTGCATTGGCTGACCATTCTCGAGTGTGTCCCTTGTGGCGGCCACGCCGGGTCCCTCTCCCGCTCAGACCTCCAGTCAGTCAGCATGCTTGCCGCCACCGACACCCGGGAGTTCATCAGCATCGTCAGCTATACCCCCGTGTCTGGGATGTACACCTCCGGCATCCAGGAGCCGGAGCACATCATTGAGACGAAGATTTTCGAAGTCCGGTCACTCTCCACCGTGGCCAGCCTCTTTTACAAGGTACGCACGCACGCGCGCCACCACCCCCAGCGCGAGCGGTCGTTTCGTGCCTCCTTTTGCCGGTCGCCTGACTAGGGCTGTCTCTTGTCCTCCCCCCCCCCCC